GAACCAGTGTGTCCTTCCCTCCTACTCCAAACTAAATAATATGGTGTTTGAAGATGAAAATGTTACTGTCTCAGTTTTCTGAAAAAAATTAAGTGTCTGAGGAAAGCAGGCACTGTCCGTCTAAGAATAATAATACCACCACCACCAGTAAGAGTATAGTTGAAATGTCTTTTTCGTTATAAGTTTTCACAGAAAACATTTGAGCAATTTCATGTATTACAAAAGCACTGCATAAGCACAGAGTTACAAAATAGCAGCAGGTTAAAACAGATAGTCTCTGGGGTATTAAGGCTGAGAGGCTGATCTGTGGCAGAAACAGAACCTCTGTTCACCTCCTGTCCCACTGCACTGGCCTCACACACAGGGAAATACATACAAATATGAATTAATTACCTTTGATTTCTAAGGGCCCATCGATGTGTAATTCTGCTTTATCTTCATTCTTGCTGTTGTTTTCAGACTCTTGAATAACAGCAGTTCTTTTGTAGATGCCTCTCTTCACTTCATCAAAAACCGAAAACATGTTGTAGACACGGGCGGTGTAGCCTGCTAGCTCCGTAACCTGAGAAAGAACAAATGCCTCATTTCAGTGATACTTCACAAATTCTGTAAATGAAATGTTTGGCCAAAGATTCATGAAAAACATTCCCAGCTATTCTGAGTCAGTTCTTCCCAAATGCTACTCTGGAAGGATCAACAACGCATCTTTTGGCGCCTATCAACTGTCATTCTTTGAGACTCTGTGCTAACCCATACGCCACCCACAGCTCCTAGAAGCCAGCAGACGGTTTGAGGGGGACAGATTTCAGCCGACGTAAGCTATGACAGCTCCAGTAAACGAGGAGGTTGCAGGGACTGCTCTTTTCCATGGATCAGTAGAGTCTTCAACCAGCAGAGAACAGCTATTAGCATATCTGAAAATAGAGAGCCTGTGACACAAGATAAAAACAAAATCTCTGAATTTGCCAGCAAAATAAAGGTCCACACAAGTGAGAAAAATTGGCATCTATAATTATTTATGTTTATTTCCCTGTATTCCTGAAACCTCCTGTGGGAAACGTGTTTTTCTACTTAAAACAGGCAGCACCAGGGCATCCTAATTTAAAATTTGGTACAAAAAAGAAATTACTCTTCTGTCAACCGCATGCTAGAGTACCAGAGCTAAATCTGAGACCTTGGATTAGAACTGGCATTTTTAAGATGGTGAGCTCTCTTAAAAGGCTATTTCCTTTTTTTGTTCCTTTTGTCACAATTTCCACCTGGTGAAGACAGAAACAACAGATCTCTGGACCTGATGTCTTCCTATTCGTGGGCAGCAACACCACCAAGAGCTCCCAAAGAACTGCCTCCATCTGCTGGCAGCAAAGAATTAAACCTGGGCGTCTTATGATAAATGTGTTATTAGTTGGTCTTAAAAGGATGAATTTTTATACTGAATGCAGAGCACAAGATGAGAATATCAAGAAAATGTATTCAAGATTATAAAATCATTAATTTCTTGTGGTTAAACATATACACCTCATTATTGAGTTCGCTTGCTATGGTGTACATAATTCCGATACGAAATCCTCTAAAAATTTCACTATTTGTCCCAGATTCAGAATTGAGTGCTAGTCCTGGCCACATGGCCATCACTCCACTGGAGGTTAACAAGTACACAATGTCTCAAAAAAATCAGAGTGAAAAGAGTAATCACTCAATGTTTCAACTCCATCAGCTGTACATCATTTTGCACTATTGGTAATTGCATTAACAGCTGTGAAAAGTATTGGGCTAACAGCACTTGCAGCAGTAGGTAGCACATACGAGCTGTAACATCATTCTCCACACTGGAGTCCTTCCAGCAATTTCAGCGGGAGCTCGTGCCGGAACTGAATGCTCCGCACAGCACTGGCAGTGGCACTTGATGGAGAGAATCCCACATGTGACGAATGGAACTTGTACCAACTGTGCCCCAGAAGAAACATAACTTGTAGTAAGTTTCTAAACCATGACCCTACAAACTCGCTTTGTCAAAATATGAAAATACTACCATCTAAAGTATTGACCTGCAAAGAAAGGTTGAGCCCACCTCATTTGCATGCTGAATTACATTGACTGGAAGGAGGCTGCTTTGGTGGATCAGGTGGACAAGAACTGGAACTTCACTACCATTTGAAGTGGATTGACATACATTGTGCTTTGGAAACTGTCTCAATCACAAAATGGGAATAACAATGTGGCTAAAGTATCACAATGACTCTTGAAGAGGCATATAAATGTAAAATTAAGATGGAAATTCATAGAACTGGTCTTTGATCTCATGCTGTCTGGATAAATATCTCACCGTGTTATAAACAAAACAAGTTCGTTCAGTTGTTCCCACTACTTTGTGGGTATTTTGTTTCCAAAAAATAAAACCACAATGTTTGTAAGTCCCCATGTACATTATATAAATGACTTCAATGTTGAAAATAAAACAGAAATTACATCAGTGTACAGTAAGTTATCTGGCAGTATCTTTAGAGCAGAGTTCAAGCAGGGGAACAGCTAAAGGAGCATAGGTCAAAATCACAGTCCATTAGAGGACCTCCTTCTGAAAAAACTACAGACTCCAGCTTTGTCAGTCCGTATGTGAAGGCACCAAACTACCTCTCCTCCTCCATTTACAAAGCTGTAGCTATTATGGCTGGATTCCAACTTAACGGAATCCACAGCCTTTGATTAGCTGCCTAGCTAATGCGTGCTTTCTTGCACTGCACTGGGAAAAGCGGTCCCCACCAAAGGGACAGGCAAAAACCAATTAACAAATGCAGAACCAACATTCAGAAGGAAATGTTGAGAAGAATAAAAGTACTGCCTCGCTTTTCTTCTGCTTAACAGCCAGTACCTAGAGAAACCCCCAAGAGATACCACAGATGAAAGCCCAGCTTTACTGGAATTTGGGTGAGGACCTGAAATTACATCTCTGATCTTGCAGACAAACATCCCGTACTTCTAGACTATCTGCTGTCCTAAGGTGGATTTTTTCCTGCTAAAATTTCTCTACTTTGCAAAATTACTTACAATTTAACAGGTTCACAAGACGCTGAAAACAGCCCTACAGTTTAGGTGGCCAGGAAATAAGTATTCAGTTCTCTTTGTGTTTTATACAAAACATGACTCTTCCAACAGAAGAGTCCCAATACACTGGAGCCAGATACCCTGAATTCAGGTCTGTGCTTCAAACGGAAGAGGAATTTGAACCTTTATCACTCACATTCCAGGAACTTCTATTGCTCTCTGATGGCACCTGAACGCAGGTATTGAAAATTACATTTACATGTTGCACCATACCGGCAGCTGTACACTTTAGACTCTTTGTGGACTTAACCCTAAAGATCAAACTATCAGTTCAAAGATCTCCATGGATTTAGTTGCAATAGAATTTGCCCTTCAAAACTGCAGTCTTTCTTTTTTTTTTACATTTTATATCAAATGTAAATTCTGTTTTACATTTTTTTTCTACTCCATTTCATGTATGACAGATGTACAGTACCTCTTTGTATGAAGACATAATCCTTTCAATAGCATCTGCTCCAGAGATCAGCAAATTTCGTGATGTAGTAAAAGCTTCTGTTCTTTCACTAACCATTGCCTGTTTCTGGCCATCTTCCAATTCTAAAAGTAAAAAAAGTTTTCTGTTAAAACTTTCTTCTGAAAAGTATCTCCACAAATCAAATTATGACTAGAATGTGAGCCATTATAGAGCAGCTTTTAAATGAAGAAAAAGTTAACTCTATGAAGACAACCTTTCAAAAAGAATTCGTGACTGTAACTAGCATAGATAGCTTGGAAACAAAGATTAAGTGGGACTATATGGAATTTGTTTATGCCACTGTATCCTGTTAGCAAGAAAACTCTTGCTCCAATGTCAGCAGCAATAGGCAAGCAGAAAAAAGCAGCAGCAATGACAGAAAATATGTGACAATAAATACATTTACATTTAACATATCTACATATACTCTTGCTACCATGTGACCTACAGATTTATACAGCATAGTCAACTTGCAATGTTTGCTTTTTGAAGGAATCAAGATTTAAAAAGAAGTGGCTGAATATTTTAAGACTGAATGTTGCTTCCGTGTTAATAGTTGTATCTACAAAAAAGAAGACACCACCACATAGTAAACCACTCTTAAAAGATTTTTCACATACAAGATTTAGAACGTAAGGTCTCAAGGGTTTTCTGCATCACATAACTTCATATATCGCTTAAGTCTATTGCAGAACGGGGTCTGGATATATTTTTTTTAAGTTTGTAAAATTTTGTTTAAGTTACTGTTTTAAGTTAAGCTGCTGCTAGGCATCAGGCTAGGTAGGGTAATAGGTGCATCCAGTGTGGCAACTCCTGTATTAGCAATTGTTATTAACCTCCTTGTGATGTTTGCACAGTGCTTATGGTCAAGAAAATCTAGGAGGAATTCCCTGCAGGTGTGATGTGATTGTAAAATTTACAGGTTAAGTCAAGTAATGCAAGAGTATAGAAAACAGTATTTTTTTACTTTGTGAGTAACTGTCTCCCTGACAAAATCAGATTCTAGAAATCTGGTGTCTAGAAATCCACATGCAGTACCAAAGCCAGCTGTATCTTTCCGTCTTTATTAGTTAAATTTAAATGTTATTTTGTTCTCATTTACACATCCATAAAAGTGGATGTGTAAATACATCCCTACAGAATTACATCTGAATCGCTAAAATACACTACAGATAATTTAGGAAAAATTTTTTTTAAATTCCTACATCATCATTTTGCATATATATACATATATCCACCATCTATGTGTTACTCTTCCTGGCCTCATGTTTTTAATAATAATTTTAGTTAATTGAGATACATGTTCAAATTTTTTCGCTTAAATTATACAACACCAGTACACTGTCAGCTAGTTGTACACAATCTAGCCACAATGAGAGGCATGCTTTAAAAAAAAAGAAGATAGAAAACCTTTTGCAAAGGGAGAGATTACAAAACTCTCGCTCATGTAGTTTTCACTTATTTTAAAATAAGTCATTTCTACTCCAAGAAGAATAAACTTACGGGTTAGAGAGAATTCAATTAATTCATTAGTAAAAACTAAATTGAAATTCTTTTGTTACTTCTCAGACAACTAATTTTTGCTGAATTTGTTGGGATTATAGCCCATGCAGCTCATGTTATGTAGAACAACCAAAATTTTAAATCATTTAGGAATCAGGTATGGTTTAACTGCCCTAATGCAGCATTCCGCCTACACGTAAATGCAGAACTTACTGACAGCTGCCTCCAGCACCCAGGCTAGCTCACCTAGCGAGAGTTGGGAGATCTCTACAAACCAGTGCATCAGTCACTTTAGGTATACTTCTCGGGATATTTGAAAATTTAAATATTACATAGAATTTATGAGCATTTCACAGTTCCAAAACACAAGCTCCTATATCTCATGCCTAACCCACCAAGGCTACTTTTCTTGAACTTTTCGTCCACAACATTTTTCGTATGGCTGGCCTCCCCTGTTTGAAGAAGCGGTGCATTGTAACAGGGCAGACAGGCTGTCTCTGTTTCACACAGAATCTAACATTTCCCTTTTCATCTTCATTTATGTAATTGACAGTCATACTTGTTTTACAAACAATGACAAGTGTTCACTGTGTCCAGAGAAATCAAAGACTTGCTTCCAAAAATAGCTACCTTCCAGAAACTGAAGAGACATGACATTTGGAACACCAATCATTTAATACAAAAAGAATGAGAAAAGTTATCAGACTGAAATATTGCCTTTGCCAGTTAATTTCTCCCCTGAAATTTGTAACAGAATTGGCACATTTCAGTCAGAAATATCACAGTCATAGAAGACTCTCTTTTCTTTTCATGCCAGGATTATTCATTTACTTTTTTTTTCCCCCTGAAGAACTGCACAAAATCTATTGCTTTACACCTTTAGTCTCAGGTCTGGTCATGGTACCAGTTTTGTGCATATCCCTGATTCTGATGATTTATCCTAAAGTAATAAATCCACTATCTCTTCTTTCAGATATGAACAAACTTGCATCTGACCTGCTGAGGCATAAAGCACTGTTTTTCTGAGCAAGTCAATGATAAGCTCAGGTCTGCTTGATTCTGCAAACACCTGTTTTACTTCGAACTGGTCTTGACAGTGTTGATTTGCCAGGATTATGTTTGCAATCCATCATTATGATACATCTCAGGTCTCCACAATAAGCCCTGTGCTTTAAAATTTTGTATTGCTAGCGGCCAATATTCTTCTGCTTTACAACATGAGCCATCGCTGCATCTTTCTTTTCTCCCACATTTGAAAACTATTTATCAAAAGAATACTCATGAGTAAAAGTACTGTTATTTAGTTTAGCATGAATACGAGTCTTTTTTTTATTCATGCTGTAATACCAAGGAGATATTTACAATGTGTGGTTAAACGAGCTTTGTCTTCACTGTACTCATTCCCACCTTAGCAGAAAGACTTTTGTCACTTTTTCCTGTTGTGCTGATAACCTTCACCGTGAGGTGAAATGGCTTTGTACAAACTCTTCTGTTTGGAATAAGACCTCCTGGTATTTTTGAAGCTGTCACCAGGACGCGAGCCAGGGTCATGACATAGTGCTGCCCTGAGCCACGCGACGAAGCAGTGGCTCGGACAGCTGAGCACCCAGCCGCGTACCAACACAACTGCAAGTAAGCCAAACCATGTGGGGACTGCACCAAGCCATCCTGCAGGCCAAACCAAGCTTGCCCAGTCGGACAGCCCTGATCTGGAATATAATTACCAAGACCTGCACAGAAAAGAATTCACTCATTCCTGATTAAATACACCCAATTTAGAATTGATCCTTCCGCAGACATTGTAGGATCCGTGCTTAAAGAATCCTGTGGAGTTTGTAATTTATTCTACAGTCCTAACTGTGCTTCAGGAAGCCCATCGAGGCAAACTCCCCACTACCCCTCCTTCATTACTTTTCTTCTTGCCTTTTTTTTTTTTTAAATTGCATCTGCAATAACAACACTACTTCAGTCTCATTTCACTTCCTGGGAAGTTGTGATAGGATGTCAAAAATTATACCATCCAAGACTGGAACCTGAATTTCACCTTCTCTTCTCCCAGGGAGTCAGGGAAAATTAGCAGTTCCTAAAAGGTCACCATGTAAGAGAATAATTACCTATAATTACACTATGGTTTATGGAAGGAGGAGATAAGCGTTCTAGGAAAGTTAACAGTATAATTTTGTAAAGTGTTGGGAGATGTTGCAAAAATCAGCCTGCCATCCCAACAGTGGCTAGTGAAGAAGGACTGCAATTATCATTATAACCTCATGTGAAACGAGGATCCTCTAAGTCCTGAATTCATGCTGTTTATCAGGCTTCTGTTCAAAGTTGGATCTTTTGTGTTGCTCCTCCCTCAACTGACTTGCTACGCTTGAAAAAATAAATATGAATGGCATTCAGGGGAATTACAGTCTTTTGAGGATGTAACTTTAAAGAAACATTTATAAATTAAGTAAAAAATGGTATTACCGCCATCTGCAAATCCCGTTGCGGTGATGATAGGCACAGCAACCATAATCATACCACAGCTACTCCAGACATACTTCATCAGGAACTGCTCTATCATGATGTACCATAAACGTTTGGACAAAATGAGATTCATTTGATCTGCCAAAGCCTTGTAGCTTTTTTGCAGTTGTTTCATTTCTACCTACAGTTAAAAAATAAAACATTTATACAATGCAACAAAGATTCAAGTATCATACAAGAGAGGCTGACATACGTGCATGAAATAATTGGGTACCCAGAGCTGTGACTTCTGAAACGCATCTGCTGCGTGGTACCTTATTTTCACAGTGCTGCAGTCTCACAGCAAAAGTGCAGAGCTTTATGGAAGTCAGTGGACCTGCTTCTTATTTACTCCATCCTCCCTCGGTAGCACATTGGCAGGTTTTCAGCTTTTTTACGATTGCTGATATATACAAGAACAACATACAAGGCAGTCACAACAGTTGATTCTAACAAAGTAAGATTGATTCCAGATCCTCCTAATGAAGCTGCAGCCATAGAGTTTCACAGCAACAGAAACTCCTCATATTGGAAAGCGTTTGGGGATCAATTATCTCCAACGACTTCAAGTTGCACAGCTGGTCCCTGAAATGCAATGCTGCTTGTTATCACAAGCACTCTGCAGCAAGAGAGAACTATCCCAAGAGGTTTAACAAGTCAAAGACAGTTGCAAGTCGATACGATATAATACATTCAGTTCAAGCCAGTATATATGAGAATTTTAAAAATGTTTAGTTTATCTGCACTTAAAACATTACTATAGGCAGCTTTTGAAAATAATTGCCTCTACAAAAATAAACCATCTACATTATATAACCAGGCTGGTTTCCAGCTTTCATTTTCACCTTACATGAAACGACTTTGTTTCCAAGTCGTGTTTGAAAGTTGTTACAGCCAAAATTCACTTCCAATAAAAACATGAAGAGCTCTTTAATAAGGTGGCTTTAAAAGAAGCCCTTAGTTTATGTAACTGTGACTGCTGAAGTACTGTACTTAAGCTATTTTAAGACTCTGATGACTACATCTTTGCTTAGCTATGTAAAAGAGTGTCAGAGGTTGTAGTGCTCTCTCTGCTATCACAGAGTTTTCCCCTAGACTTTCCGGTGTGCCCTGGTTGCTATTTCTGCAGTACTAAATCTGGTAGTTCATAAACACGGGTGAAAAAAAAAAAAAACAACAATGCTGGAAAGTGGAATGGACTGGGTGGGGGAAAAATGGAGATTAGCCTTCTCGAAAAGCAAAGGATCCAGCTGCAAAACAGGAAAACTGTTAGAGCACACGGGAACTATGGTCTGCTCCCCCCAGCTACCGCCTGCGAGACAGCATTTTCCTAGGAAACGGGAAGTGCTCGCTGTAAGCAGGTCCAAGCATCAGGCGGACCCCGGGTGCTCAGGGACAGCAGCAGGGGAAGCGCGGGTCAGCACCCCAGGAGCCACCCCAGCACCTTCCAAGTTCTCCCCTGCATACCTTGTGCCCTCGATAAAAGGCGATCTCTTCCACATTGGCAATGATGCGCGAGTGCATGAAGCGCAGATAGCCCTTCTTGTGCGCCTCCTCAGCCACCAGCTTGCCAAACTTGGGTGAGCAGGCTTTGAGCACACGGGCTGTGGCGTAGACGACGAGCCCGGCCAGGAGTGTGGGCCCGATGGGATTAGCCCCCCGGGACCGCGCCGTGCGGATGAGGGTGTAGGAGGTGAGCACGACGTCCAGGATGGGCTTGGTGAGGTTGGAGTAGAGGTGTGCCACGGACTGGGAGAACATCATGATGTCCTCAGTGAGGGACTGGTCAGGGTTGGCCAGCCGCCCGTCCATGCTGATCACCCTGTAGTAAGTCTGGTTGGCAAAGTAGGTCTCATAGGCGTGATCCACCAGGCGCGTGCGGAAGGCGAGGGCCAGCTTGCACTCCAGGTACCGGATGGTGCTGTTCACGAAGGTGGCCGGGATCGCAATCATCAGCCACTTGATTAATTTGAAGACAAAGCTCCGGGGCTTTTTCTCCACGATGCTTTTCACAATCTTCCCGTCGAGGGCGGCCACGTAGATGGAGAGGAAGGTCCTGGAAACCAGAGCGACCGAGTGCAGGCAGAGCAAGCCTAGCTCGGCGCTCACCAGCTTGGGGAAGAACAGCTTGCGGAGTTCCACCAGCTCCTTGAAAAATTCCGCGTTCACGGCCGGGGAGGCTCTGCCCCGGCCCCCCTCAGCCCGGCCGGCGTCCTGCGGGCCGCC